AGGCTGCTAGTTCAGAATAAAAATGTATTCAAAAATAAAACTTCTTCCATGCTTTACAAAGTTGTAAATTGATACAAAGAAAGGTGCCACAGAAAAACCCTTTTTGGTTATATCTGAAGACAGAAAAGTTTATACTTTCCCCCCTTTTATATTAGTCTAAAATTAAAGATGCAACTTGGCCTTAAAAATATTTCCTTAGACTACAGCTTCTGTAACTACTTCCATTATAAATTCTAAAGCAAATAGGTTTGACAAGCAAAACTTCAATATATTTTTGAATGCACAATCCCTGACCCTTAAAAACGAGATCTGCAAAGAAATCCACAGGGAAACATAAAATAAACTTTGTTTTCTTAGCTTCTGCCTGCTAAACATGCATCAGCCAGAAAAGGCCTGCCCCACAAGACAAGATCCATTAAAATATGCACCTTCAGTCCAACCTCAAGAAGTTATAAATTATCCTCTTTGTTACCACCAGCTGTAAACCACTATGGAGGTCTCCAAGCCAGCAGATGCTACAAAATCAGGCCTGTATTTCCTTTCTGAAGCCTGAGTTTATAAAATGAAGAAATGCTTCATTTTACATAGAGCAGATCAATCAGGTCATGGCTGATCAATCATTGTATTGAGTCGCTTGGCAAGGTTCTGATAGCAGAAGGACTACAGAAGCGGCTTCTGTGAGAAGCTGCTAGCAACTTCCCCTGTGTCTGACAGAGCCAAGGCCAGACAACTCCAAGACAGACAAATCAGTGATGGGGTAATGCCTCTGTGGTAACATATTTAAGAAGCAAAAAAAGTTAAGGCACAGATGTAATTGTGGCCAGAGAAGTGAGGAGTGAGAGTACATGATAGAAACAGCTCTGCAGACACCAGGGTCAGTAAAGGAAGGGGAGGAGGTGCTTCAGGTGGTAGAACTGATATTCCCCTGCAGGCTGTAGTGGAGCTCCACAGGGTTATCATAATCCACCTACATAGCCTGTGGAGAACCCCCCACTGCAGCAGGTGGATGCCCAAAATAAAGGTGTGCCCCCGTGGAAAGCCCACACTGGAGCAGGATCCCGATAGGACTTGTGACCCTGTGGGAGATCTAGGCTGGAGCAGCCTGTTTCTGAAGGACTGCACCCCATGGAAGAGTGACCCACATTGGAGCAGTTCATGAAGAACGGCAATTCATGAGAAGAGCTCAGGCTGGAGTAATTTGAGTAGGACTGTATCCCATGGGAGGGACCCCACACTGGAGCAGCTGAAGGCCTCCTCTCCCTGAGGAGAAAGCACAGGAGAAACAACATGTGAAAAACTGACTATAATCCCCATTCCCTATCTCCCTGAGCCACTGTGTGGGAGGAGCAGAAAATTTAGGATAAAGTTAAGCCCAGAAAGAAGGGAGGGGCAGGAGAAAGGTGCTCCTAAGATTCGTTTTATTTCTCATTGTCCTGCTCTGATTCTGATTGGCCAAAAATTCAATTAATTTCTATAAGTCAAGTCTGTTCTGCCAATAATACTGAGTGAGTGATCGCTCCCTGTTCTTATCTCAATCCACAAGTCATCCACTATATTTTCTCTCCCCTGTCCAGTTGCACAGGGAAGTGATAGAGTGACTTTGGTGGGCATCTGGCATCTAGCCAGGGTGGAACCACCACATGGACAGAGACAGCTTAAGCAGTTCCACCATTAGTGTCTTAATATTAATACCTCCTGGCATCCTTTCTTTTGTGCCAATGCAATCACTTGGACAGCTAAATAGCAAGGTAGGTGAAAGAGCAAGGCTGTCCTCAATGCTCTCAAAAAGCAAAAAATCCCAAAACAAAACTCCCCTCAACACTTAATTTAGTTTTGTTTATTTGTTTGTTTTCCCGGCCAGCTGAATATCCAGATCTGGCTTACTACACATATGTGCAAGTGCTCCCATCAATGCACAGGAAAGGAATAACAAACCATGGAAGTGAAGAGTGGCAGCAAATGCATCTGCCACTTTACACACTGTTAGAGCAAACTTGAAACTGCAGACATTTTTTTCTTTTTTCTGGAGAAATACTGCCATTCTTTGGATTTTTTTATATTTGCATTGTTTTTTTTAATTGATAGCTAAAATGGCAACACATAAAAAATTTAATTGTGGACTGTGAAAAATACTTGATAAGATGAGAAAGAGGAGCCATTTACACAGTTATATCTTCTTCACTATCAGGAAACAGTGCAGATGCATCTTTGAGAAAGAAATTCCAAAAGGAATATCAGACTCCAGATTGCTAAAGCCATTGTATCTCTTGAATACTTTTATTCATGTTGCTTTGATTAGAAACAAGCTTGAAAGTTAATTTTAAGCACTAGAATCACAAGCTATGATGTGTTTTACAAGTCAGAGGGGGAAGAGAATTGTATTGAAAAGAAAAACATTACAAAGAAAAATTTGCTGAACATTTAGAAAGCAGATAAAGCAGCAACAAAGCACAGTGCAGGGTATTGTAAGAAAATAAACAAAGTACCTACAAGAGGACCAGCAATCATAGTTCCAAATCACTTGCAGATATGAAAAGGTTGCTGATACCCAAGTCAACACAGCTTTGTGTAATGCTTCTGGAAAAGAATTTTCATCCTCAGAGTTACAATGAAAAAGCTTAACACGTGTGAGTTATTCCTGCTTGGTATCAGCAAACTGTACTAATTATTACTAATTGACGACCTCAAGTGGCAGAAAGCAGCAGCTGCAGATTATACAAACTCCTTGAAAGCACTACTCATTAAACAGTTCATCTCATTTTAATCTCCCAGTCCTATGCACCCATACTATGTTCCCTGTTAAAGTGGAAAGGCCTGTTCTCTAACTTGTTCCATGTTACTTTGGCCCACAGGTCCTTCAATAATGTCCTGCAAACAAATGTCATCTTACACACATGAGAAAAGTCATGTTAGGGCAGTTCATACTTAAATTCTTACATTCCAGTTATCGTTTTCTTTCAGCTTCAGTTTAAAATTTTACATTTTCTTCATTCATCATGAGGCAACTCCAAGTAGCCAAGCTTGAGTGCAGGTAAGAATTTCTTCCTGAGCCCTGGGGGTACATCAAAACAGCCAGCAACTCTATCTGGGGCCACAAAGCTCCCTCACTATCAGCAGAGGGCTGTGAACATTCTCAGTGTTCTGTTTCAGTGAGACAGGTGGGAACTGGCTGCCTGTAAATTTAAGCTGCAACAACTTGTTTCAGTAACATCAACTCTGATTCAAAACCAAAGGGTGTGTCCAATTCTTGCTCAGTTTGTAGCTGCAACACTGTTTTTGAAAATGGGAAATAGCAATTTCAGGATTTTCTTAGCCCAAGAGGTTTGAACTGGAGCTCCCAGGTTTTGGACTGCTCTGTAACAACAGTCACAGGGTCACTGTGCCTGAGTCAAGACAGGAATATATCTGTAAGAGGAGACTGGAGTCTCCACCCTGCTAAAGAATCCAGCACAATTACTCTCAGAAGTTGCTCTCATATAGGTTACCTGGAGTTCTTTTTTTGTTCCAAGACACACACTGGTATACTGCTGTCTCTTCCTGTACATTCCTACTAACTTCAACTGACCTGCACAGAATTTCAGAGGATGTGATTTGGAGTACAACAGAATACATATTGTTTTTAGAAGTCAGATTTATATAATCTAGAACTTTTACCACAAGCAAAAGTTCAAACCTTTAGTAAATACTGCTTATTTTATACATTTTTTCTTTGCGTGCCATCTCTGAATGCATAAAGATACCCACAAACCTTTTCTTTCATAACATACTTTCTTATGAAAGCTGAGATGAAGAGAGTATGACTAGAAAACTAAAAGATTAGTCACACACCCCTGCAGCAGGACCTGTTCTAGCACATTTCTGTCATAGCTGGAAACAGTGATTGTGACTTAGATATATAATGCACATTTTTCTAAACTGCTGAGATACAAGGGATAAGTGTGTAGATATAAGGACAAATAAAATTTAGTTTTAGCTTCCCCATTCTAACCATAGTAGTAGAACAAGTATACAAACAGTTTGTGGTGATGTTTTTTTCTTAATCATTCTGATAAAATAGTGCAAATGTCAACAAATATTAACTACCAATTACATACATTAAACCACACAAGCTACTTAGAAAAAGAGAATATTCAAACTTTAGATTTTTTCACTACATGTGATCAACATGAACCTTCCTAATGGGGTGAGCATCCTGTAAAAAATCCATCAAAATATGCTCAGAGACTTTGAAGATTACATACAGATATGATGTGTAATCTGATCTGTTATGCAAGTCATGTTACTTGCATCTGGCTTCCTGAAAAATATCTCCATTCTATTTTTTTAATTGTTAAAAAATCATGAGTTTTCAAGATTTTTGTACTTATACATAGCATTTCTTGCATTTCACATTAATAAACTGCTCACATTACAAGGTATTTGCAAAGCCAGCCTGTGGAGAATGTTAAGTAATGTGGCAAGATAATGTTATGTATTCTACAGACTATGAAAAGGCAAACCTGTGGCTGGACGTGGCTAGCTCTGCATCAGAGCTAGCATGAGAGCATGCTGACAATAAATGAGGATACTCAGAACACTGTGCAACGCTGGTGCCAGTGCCAGCTGCTTTTGCAAGCTGGGAGGAAGAAGAGACAAGGGCTACTGGTGTTTGCAGAAAACTGCAATAAAAGAACAAAGAAAGTAATTTGTATCAGTCCACAACATAATTTATCCTGTCTTGCTGGAGAGTCATACAAAGAATAAGTTCAGAGGGCTTGTAAAGACACGCAGACCATAGGTGAAAAATTATTTCAACAATAGCTGGTTGTCAGTTACATCTGAGATAATGAATAAATAACCACTGAGACTTTTAAATGCCTTTCAGATATCCTCTGTCCACAAAGACCAGTGATCAGTTTCACCCTCAGAAACACAGCTCTAAAAACCAGGGAGCAAAATGATAGGTGACCAGAATAAAGTGACAAGTGTGGTGCTGACTCCACAGAACAAGAAACCCTGGGTGGTAAAAACGCATCCTTTATTTGCTTACATAGAGAAACAATAAAATTGAGTACAGTCAAGCTGTTCTTAAAAGTATATGGCAAAGACTTAGAGGGAGAAAAAAGAATCCCGCCTCTTTCCTGCAACATATCCTATTCCTTATAGTTATGTTATGCTTAGATATTACTGGAACAACACACAGTATTAAATACCAACATCACAAATGTGGTTTCCAAATTGAATGTATCACTTAATTTACCTAACATGTTTCTCACAAGCAGGAAACATCCTTTGGACAACACTGAAGATGTCCTCGTTGTTAAAGGGAAGCTCTGCACATATACTGAAGGATCAGGAGCTAAATATAAAACCCATTGCCACGAGACCCTGAGAAGACAACATTTTACACAGTGTCACATCTTTTTCTTTTTTTTTTTTTTTTTCTTTATTATGGTTCATTTTAAGTAAAAGTTACAACCAACTTTTCTCCCTTCTCAGAAACCTCGTTATGTTGAGCATGATTGTTTTTAATTCTTTGTCAGTGTGTTCATGTATCTCATAACCATCCTTATTCAGAGGTACTCTCCCTTTTGTAAAAACATCGAAGTGTCTAATATCCATATATGTCTAATATATATATTCTAATAAAATGAAGTCTATTAAAGTCACCTCTTTTTCTCCAGTATTATGAACATCAAATTGTTGTAAAAGTCATTTAAGAATAAAATGTAGAATAGCAGCAGATGTAAATACTGTTTGAGTTGAAAATGCTCACACTTCAAACACATACTTACTGCATCTCTCCCAATTTAAAAATACACTAGTTCCATTCCTATTTTGAAAAACATAAGGCTGAGATTTTTATTGCAATAGCACTCTGATACTTGATACCTCCACAAAAGGCCAAGGTAAATACCAGTTTACCAAAATGCATGCATCTTCCCTCCCTCATAGTGATGGCAGCTCATTGAAGAAGAAAGGCAGCAGCTACATAGACATTCACAGTGTTGTGCAGCATGGGAGTTGCTCATCCTTAAACAATGTAGTCCTTTGGACTGCCAATTCAGTTTCAAGCAGCAAACTTTTCCTGTTGGTCTCAATAGTATTTTATTTTCTTCCTCTAATTTGTCCGTTTAAAATATTTAGGAGTGCTCATATGAAAGTGATGAATAGGCACATAATTGTGTCCATCTTTATAAGATCCAAACCTAAGAAAAATATTCAACAGAGCAATACTATTACAACATTATTTAACCCAAGCAATTAAATCATACAATTGCTACCCTACTTCTGAATGTCCTAGGCAATTTATTTCAGAAACAGGCCCCGTCTCTATTAAATGTAAATCAGGTTCTAAGTACCCTCTCCTACTAAAGGTTTTTGAGTATAGTGGAGACAATTAATTACATTGATTCTGCTGATGCTATAGGCAGTCTATTATTGGAACTCCAGATGAGAAAGCTGAGTTTTGCATTTATCTACTTAAATTCTAAGCTACATTTTTAGTTCCAGTTTCAATGGAGATACAATTTAAACACCCATAGTAGCGAAATAGTCAAAATAACCCTGTTATTAATATTGTACATTTTGCTTTTGAAAATCGTGGTGAAAATTATAGTTTTTCATTCCAAATTTAAATGTGAAAGTTTTGACAACTGACTATTATGGTAGACAGACTTGCAAAAGTAAAATGGAGTACTTATTCAAAATATCAGTGCTAAGTAATGTTTAAGAGCAGTGCCATTGTATTTCTAAAGAAGTAGAGTTAATCGGAAAAAGCTAAATCTATTCCAATAGGGTAAACATTTTCTGATTATAGGCAGACAAAAGAAATGAGGACAAGATTCTGTGCTGAAGTCAATAGAGAAAAATCTGAAGGTGAATGCTAACTGTAGGCAAGTTCCATCATGTGGAAAAGTCTGGGCAAACTCCTGCTTAAGACAGGAAGCCAGTGGCTGAGTGGTACATAAGAAGTGAGTAAGCTCAACTGTTAGATGTATATGAGAAAGTAATATATTCTGCATTATGCATGTTAGGAGTAGTAAACATGACATTACTGGGAATTATCTCTCTGTGGCAACATCTATCACAAACTTGATGACTTTTTCTCTGGTATCAATACTAGAATAAATATCTTTTTCTCTCTATCTCTTCCTTATGCAATACCAGTGGAAAAATGACAGCAATTTAGAAATAAATAAATATTTTACATAAAACCTGGTCCTTTTTTTTTTTTTTCTTCTTGACACATGCAACATACTGCCTCAGGCACTCTTTTTAATTTTTGCTCCAATTATATGGCATGTTTTTAAATTCTTATGCAAAAAGTATTTAATGTATATATTGTATTTGATATTCTGAGTAACAATATATTAAAAGCCCAATCTCCAAAGTGCTGAGAAACATGGGAGATCTTTCATCAGCTATCAAATGAATCACCACACCACTTGGCAAATACCCCTATCAAACAATCTCAGAAATTGCCTGGATGAAATGAGCATTACTTGCAATTTATGCTGTGATAAAACAGTCTGTTTTTCCCAGGGTATATGCCAAATCAATTGGAAAAATGGAATTACAAATTACAGAAGTTCTTGACTCCTACTCTCCTGCTCATTTGGGTACTGATCAGTGCCTCTCACTTTAGAAATAATTTTGTTCCTAGACTTCTCTTTTACAAGATGCCAGGTACATCATCCCCTTAATTTCCTCTGAGACACACTGACCTGGGATTGAAATGGACGTCCTCAGGAACTTGGCTGGGATCAGTGACAATTCTATCATTGTCCACATAGTTATCCACGTGATCTGGGATTCTAAATTTGGCCATCTGGACTTCTGAATCACTTAAACCAGCATGAGATATGCGGGCATAACCCAGCCTATCAAATATGAGATGAGTTAGTTTGAAGAAACTCTTTGAATAAGAGTTTCAAGAAAATTTCAACACATTCTTAATGTATCTTTTTTTTTTTTTTTCCCCAGGAGTTGTGCTTGAACTTATCAACACAATGTTCCATTTCTGTGAATCTTGCCTTCAAAAAACTGAAAGTTCTCCACAAACAGGATCATAACACCATGTCACAAGCATAAAAACTGAAAAACCGTGTTTCACAGTAAAAATAAGTTCTATGTCTAAAAGCCTTTTTTAAAAAATACAGCTTTAGAATATGAATGCAGGTATAAGCTCACCAAATTTTCACTGAAAAGGTTTCAATATTCATGAAAGAAACTCAAGCATCAGCTGAATGAATAATGAGAAAAATTCAAATTGCAAATAGAGTTTTAGTTGAGTTTTTTTGGTTGCCTTTTTTTCTTTTTTTTACTCAATACCGTTAAGATAGCTATCAAGTTTATGACTCGTGAACACTGCAGAATTTGCATAGTTTATTCAGCATAAGCTGAATTCCATTCCAGTACAAACATGATTTACAAGCAATTTGGTATTAAAAGATATGGAGTGCATAGGTCCTGTGCCCCAAGCTTACACAGTTCAAGTTTCCACTAAATCCAGCATAAAGACTGGCTGGATTAGATCAGCATTTTGCTTCCACAAAATCATAGTTCAAAATTTCTATCTTCTGTGTCACATAAAAATTAGGTCTTAGCATTCACATTTTAGAATGAAGTTGCAAAGCTAGAGCTTTGGAAAAATGTAGTTTTATGTTACCAAAGCAGAGTAGATCTGAAGACTTTTGATGCAGAATGATGAAACCTGCAATAGTGTCTTAGCAAAATATATTCAGAGATATACCAGTTCTTGTGATCCTAAGAACAATGTTTCATATAATTTTATGATAGATCCAACTGCCCATAATAATAGTTTAGGGATGTAAGACTCTTCCACGATCACTTAAAGATGATTACAAAACTAATAGCCATCAAGATATTTAAACCTACAAATAAGTGATTCACTTTAACATACCTTATTACTCCACGATACATAATATAGCTACACCATCTGTCCCTATCTGTACTGTCAATATCCTAGAAGCGAAAGGGAAAAAAAGTCAAACAAACAAGGTAAATGTTCATCTGGGTAGGCTTTAAATCAATAACAGGAGCAGTGTGCAAACTCACTGCAGAAAAATATTTTGCCTAAAACACTGTAGTAAGGCAGAAAGAAAAACCTCACTGTTAGACATGGACAAATCAGACAATTTTTTGATATCTCTTGATGAGGAGCTCATTTTTAAAACAAAAGAATCACAGAATTAGAGGATGCCTGGAGGTCACCTAACCCTGGTAAAAGTCACTTCAGGCAGGTTGCTCAGGGCCTTATGGAGCTAACTTTTGAATATCTCCAAGGATGAATGTTTCACAACTTCACCAGGCCCCTGTTCTAATCTTTGACAACCCTGCAACTTTTTATTTCTTCTAAATGACATTAGCTCCCTTGAGGCAGCTGCTGTCCATTGCCTCTTGTTCTTTCACGGTGTAACTCCACCTTCTCTGCAAGATATCCTGTGGTAGCTAAAGACTGTATTTGAAAATGGGCTTGTGTTTTCTTCTCTGCCTATATTTAAGTTACTAGTTTGAAATACTAAGCTGAGTGCTTCCAATATATATTTTCTCTAAATATGCGGTATTTTTATATTACCTGCACATTTCCATTTTTTATTAATTCATTATAGTCTCTGGATCCAGGAGCTGAAGTGATGTACCCTAGAAATACAACCTGCTTAGAGCTAGTCTTCAATAGGTTTGAAACAGCTATTGCTTGGAGTTTTCTATCCAAGTCCTCTCTGAAAGAAATGGGAAAGACTTTAAGACATTTTATCTCACAATCTTTGTGCTATGACATAATAAACCACAAATCAATCTGGTACAATTTTTGTTGCTCAGTATTAGAGAGTATGAAAGTTTACAGAAATCTCATTGATTCAAAATTATCTGCTGCATTTGATAAAAGCCACACGGTCATGGTAGATGTAATTCACATTTTCTTTCTATCCATTACAGGAAGAACATTTTCTATTACTGTTTTGTTTTTAATACTGATACCATCACTAGGAAATGTCAGTGTTAGTGTTTTGGTTATATAAGACCTTGTCTCTGCTTGCACTTAAAATTTAACTGTGCTAGCACAAGTGTATAACAAAGAACTTAAATGCTAAAAAAAATTTTCTTATGGATAGATCACAGTAAATAAAGTCTTCAAGCCTGGGTGCCATAATTTATGAAATGTAACTAGAGTTACATCATCCTATTAGCATTACTTAATTACATTTGGCCTGTATTTCACATCTCTTTAACAAGATTTACACAAGAGTTCCAACATGATAACAACATAGCGATAGCGTAAGTGGAGCCTGGTAAAATGCTTCATTGGATCCCATTCCCTGTCCTTGGATTTGTCATAAAATAATGCAAAAGCAGTTCTCTTTCTATGATTCTTTATGTTAGTGACTTTAAACAGTTGTATAAATCATGCTGCCTTCTGTATTTTGGTAGTCTGGACTAAATAACATTGACAGAGAGAGCTGATTTTGGAACCTGTAAACCCAAAAGAAGACAGCTATTTACAATTTAGAAAGCAGCTTTGCTTTCTAAATAGTGGTACTTCTGCCTGAAGCAACTGTACTAGGGAGAAAGAGCACACAGCCAGGAGACAAAAAACCCCAAACAGTTAAGAAGAAGTCTGACCTAGGTATATGTGAAGTTACCTGCTCAGCTAACTGCTCTTTCCAGAATGCCCCTCTCCAGAAGATGGGATCTTTTAAAGGCACAGGCACAGTTACAGTCCCACATTTTAAAAATCATATTTAAAAAACAACCCTAGTTATCCACTGTTCTGTAGTCTATGTCACCTTAAGCAGCAGAAGAAAAAAATACTAAAAATGAGCAGTTATGTGCAGTATTTAGTTACAAATTCATTCCTCTCTAAAACACAATCCAATTTGCTCATTTCCCATGTGTCTCCTCATATTTTCTCCTTCATCTTTATCTCATTCCTTTGAGAGGGGATAATACAGTGTTATTTTCTTCTACTTTGACAAACAGTTTCTCAGACAGGCAAGTCTAATCACCTGTATAAGGCACAGAATTAAATTCCTTTCTAGAGTTAAAACTGGGGAGTGATTTCTGACAACCATATTTGTTTAATAAATGGAAAATCTATAAACAATTTGCAGGTTTGATGCAGCTTTTACTCAGAGGAAGGAAATGGGATACAGAGAATTCCTATGGTATTCTGAGCAGCTTCATTGTGTTATAATATCTGTACCCTATCCATAAATTTGCCTCTCCATGAATTGTAACAATTTTTTTCTTAAATTCCAAATCTTACTACCTAGCCAGAAACATACTAGATATCACACCAAATATAACAGAAATTATAGCTGTATGGAGCATTCACAAACCTCTCTCTTATTAATATTCATTACACATGAGTAATAAAAACATTGCTTTCAAGAACTGAAATATATGCCTTATTCTTTTCCATCACTTATTTGCCTTATTGGTATAATACTGCTTTTCTGAATTCAGAGATCAGACCTCCTATTTCCACTTGCATACTCTCAGAAGAACACGAATGGGTATTTATGCTGCTGTTTCAACACTGTCCTTTCTTAGAGGTTTCAGATTTGTCACTTTTTTTAAAAAAAAAATAACATTTTTCCATTAAAGCTGTCTATCTCTAACTATACCTATCTGCACTCATTGTGTAATGTAATGCATCTATTCCATATGCAAAAAGTCAGAAGGATGCTATCCTACATGGAGATGCATCTGTGGCCCTATCATTTGTTATGACTTTGCAGAACTGTATCTTTAAATCCCTAGTAATTCAGATAGTAGGTTCAACCGAGTTTTGCATGACACACTTGCCCTACCTTAAAAAATGCTTCAAAATTTTAAAACAGTAGTTTAACCAATTTTAAACTGTCATAGTATTTCTTCAAAGGTGCCCTGCTAGAACCAGTATTCCAGCAGCAGATTTTAAAGGGTACAAAAGAAATCCCAGAAGTTTGCAAATTCCATTACATGACTTTCTACACTCTATGTAAAAATAAGTAAAATACGCACTCTTCATTTCCGAAGTGAGCAACAACAAAATCAACCAGCTTCCCTGTGAAGTTGACAGTCAGGGAGATGGCAGGTGCAATCTCTCCCTCTGGAGATGGAAGGAGGTGATGGGTCGATTTTACAATTGGATACCTGGATAGTGCCATAATCCTACATGAGGAGAAGCAAAGAGTTACATTTTATGATTCACAAGCATCAAAGGTGTAAACCAAGAAGATAAATGTGAGCAGAAGATGAACAGTCACTGAAAAAAACTAAAGAGCAGAATACGAACTATCTCTAGTGGATTTTTCGGAATATAGAAAGGTTCACTCTAAAATACTGCTTAACTACATGTCTAAAAGTATATTATCAAGTTAATTCCTACCCTAAGAATATAATTCCATAAATATGTTCTTTCACTGAGCTTTTCATGATCTGTATTTCAGACAAAACAAAACTTTATACTAGCAGAAATTAAAAGGTGTTTTATTAAAAGTGGAAGTAGGTAGAAATGCACCTTTAAAATGGAAGATTTGTATTTTTTCAGCTTCTGTTTGGACATTTTGCATCAGGTTTTTCATGGTATTTCATTAATAAAATCTCAGAGAATAACTTCTCTGCCCTATTCTGACTCAAATAGACAGAGTCTGGAAGAAGAAAGTTACTAAATGTCCCTCACATATGGCAAAAATTAAATAGCCATTGCAACATCAGTTCAAAGTTCCATCTGCCATACAGATGTGTATATCCCCCTTCGTTATACAGCCCAAACTAGATTTAATAAATTCAAAATTTTTCATACCTCCTGATGCACTACATTTTCCAACTGCTATCGTATTTTTAAGTCTGCAATATAAAATTCTCATACCATGGTAATGCTAATGAATCAAAGCCTGTTCCTAAAGGACAAGCTTCAACAAGTGATTACAGTGATTACTATTCCAACTACTCCTTCCTTCTGTATTAGTGCAGTTTGTATTGGGCAATATATTTACATCTATTTACTGTCACTGTGGATGTAAAGATGACTCACCCCCAAGTGTGATCTCTTGTGCTTGGACCAAAATCTGTATAAAATCCCAGTCTTTCTCCTAGCCACATTGTTGGGTCATGGTTTCCAATGAATGGTTTAGAGGCATCACTCTCTATAATAGTGATAAAATCTGCTTCTAAGATGGGAGGGGAAAAAAAGAAAATTTTTTCACATTTATAACTGTTACCTAGAAATGGGACTTACAAATAGCTACCTAATGTCATTATTTCCCTTTTGATTACAGGAGGATGGACACAAGCCCTTCAGGGGTCAGTCAAGGTAAATTAATGTTGGCAACAAAGTCATGCCCAAATTTTTGTCTACTGCAGGCCACTCAAAATCTGATGAAGATGCACTTTGCATGAACTCTGCTTGCCATGGCTGATCCCTGGTGCATAACCAGAGATACGCGCGACTGCAGAATACAGCTGGCCTGCGCAGACCTCGTGGCACTTCAAAAGCATTAGAGATACTATGCACACACAGATTAACAGCACAATAGCAAGCCTACTGCTTTCAATTTGATGTACAAACACTACATAGCACATCTGCACTTCCCTTCATCTACCAAATCCTATTGTGCTTCTAAGGGTCCTGTGCAAGACACAGCTAGATGCTGTTGCCAAAATAATTATTCAGCCCAGAGCAACCTTGCAACAGCTTCAAGACATGGTAACAGAAGGGTTCGCAGCTCCAGTGAATTGCTGACGATCTGCAGTCACCTCACTTTCCTATAGCACTGTGGTCCCTCCCTGTTTACATGCAGATGTGTGGTTCTGCCGGGGAACATAATGGGTTCCCCTATATTTTAACTGCAGGATACAGTTCCCTTGAGGAACTGGTATCTAAGAAACACCTGCCCATGCTGAAGGAAGGTGGGAGTCTGCAAGCTGCCGACAGGATGGCTGAACCATTCAGACTCAGCTTGAGCAGCCAGTCAGTACAGCTGCAGCAGCAGCAAGTGCTCTAAATGCTCCCTTCTTGCTGCAATTGTGCCCCTTTTAGAATGCTCTTCTACACAGGAAGGCAAATTGAGTCACCACTTTATCCACAGCGCTTTCATAAGGACTTATGACCATCCAGCACCACAGAAGATTTTTTTGCTTTTGAAATATCTTATGCAGCAGTGTAAAGCACTGTCATCATGGAAAATAGGAGCTCAGACTTCTTAAGTGGATTCCCAGGATTTTCCTTCTCTATCATTAGCATACATGCTGATCACAGAAACAGTAAGTGAAACCATTAAGAAAGGTTGAGGTAAGATCCCTCCAGGGCAAACCGAAATTCCAGTCACAAAAGCCATTACATGTTGCATCTTTGCTATTCAAAAAGAGAGGTGTGCAAGGAATGCACACCACCACACCTTTAAAGACAACCCCTATCCTAAAGCAGATAGCCACTCTTTTCTCTATGGCTCTCAAAATCAGGAACTCTTCCTAAAGGAATTTCTAGCCAAACTCTGAATGCATTTACTGACAACATTAATGTAGTATTTTATATAATAATATAAATGTATCATAAAACTTTAGAATATCATTTTCACCTATTAGAAATTATGATTTATTAACTTATATTTTGGATTTTGCTGCCTTTTTGACTTACCAATTGTCTTTTTTAGAAGTGATATTTCATTACCCTTAAGAAATGACAATGGACATAACCAGGTAATCACTTTTTCTAATATTCATTAATTTAAACTATAGGTAGCAGAAATGAATGCATTCTTTAAAATTCATAAATAAATATGCAAAGATTAAATAACCACCCAGACGTGAACTATGGAATCACTTATGTAGAAGAATACTCCAAATTTCAATTAATTAAATGTACTGGCTGTTTTCTCGTATCACCAGACAGCCAACATAGCACAGACCAGACAGCCAACATAGCACAGCTCTCTTGACCTTTGGTCATGGGACAATAAAGGGAACGAGATTAAAATCACTCTCTTCACTCTTCACTAACTCCTTGTGTACATATGCCACAAAATCAAGACTTGCACAGGAGCACCTGTTGGTGCCTTTTCATTGCTTGGGTTTGTAAAGCCTGAGCTGGTCAGGAAAATCCCATGGTGGACTGGAGAACAACAAATGCTGGAATTGCAGCATGGACATTTCCTAACTCCCTGAACTGCTTTAGATCTTAAACTGTCAGTCCCCTATCTACCGTATCGCATGGATAACGCAGGAAAAAAGTAACACCTACAAGCACTACTGGCCAATCCCTTTCAATGCCCTCTGCAATGGCACTCATCTTGAATCCAAATTCTTTATTTCCTATAGCTAGTTTTCCAACCAAAATCCTGCCCATGAGCAAAAGTTTAGACACTCTTCTTTACAATAAAATCATGACAACCAAGCTGCAATCGCTACTTTTCTTTTATACATTGCTGTGGTTCTGTGATGGAAACAGACTTGTCTGTTTTTTCTCTGCATTCATTGTTTATGGCATTTGAATTTCACTCCCTTTAGGAATTACATAATGCTTCACATAAAAAAAAAAGATGCAGAGAAGTTATAAAACATTGCATTTGATCTAAAAGTATATTTACCTTTGTAAATACCATCGTATTCTTTCTAAAAGGATATTATTTCATTTATGCAAAGAATTTCTCTACAGACAAGTAACTCATCAGCAACATGAGAAGAAAAATCTACACAGGAAATAAAATGTTTCCTCTGACCAGAAACCTCTTTAAAATATATAAACAAATTATCACCTCTGCAAATGGATTTTTGACTGAAGTGACTGTATTGGAACAGTTCACAAATTGAGGAGAAAACAACTAAACACAGGTTCTTGTGTTAATGCAAAAATGGCCTCCATTACCAAGCAGGTGTTTTCACTTTTGTCTCTTCAGATGAATCCTCCAAAATATAAATGAAGTAGGGAAAAAAAGAGTTACCTGTCTGATTAAGCAGATTAGCTGATCCTTCCAAATTAGACCATCCTTCATTGTCATATCCAAACCTAAAAGGCCAGATCATAGCAGAGAAATCTCTTTTTGGAACCTCAAAAAATAAATGGAAAAAAGTGAAATAAAATTTGAATTTTACATATTATAGCTTTGCAGTAAACAACACCAGACACGTGGTGCCGTAAGAGAAATACAAGAAGAGATGGTTTATCCAGTGTATTTTCCTAATAAAGCTGTAAAGAATTACAAAAAACTAAATCTGCTATTAACAAGGGAATAAAAGTCATAATACTTAAAATGAAGTTGTATAAATTACAGTAAATAAATGAAGAGGAAAGAGACAATGCATTTTTTTTATCTTATGAAGAGGAGCTTCGTAAGTTGACCACATTTTGCCACACAAGGTACTACAAACTTGAATTAATTGCAAAAAGGCCAACCATATAAATCTGTGTGCATTTGTGAATCTAACATGGAACTCCATGAGTGTTAACCATCTTGTTATTTATTACCTTTGCAATACCTATTTTCTTGCAAGACAGAAAACTGGAATCTTCAAATTTTTATCCAATTTCCATACCTAGTCTAAGTCTAATCTATGTCAACCAACTTTTCAGGCAGCTTCAATTCAGAATTATGATATAATGGAGAATCACAGAATTCCTTCATCTGGAAGAAATCTCAGGAAGTTATCCGTTCAAACTCCCCCTACATGAGATTAGGCTGCTAACAGCATTGTCCAGTTTCCATAGAGTTGAAATAAACTGATTTATAAAAGTAATGTTCAAATTGAACATATGAGACAAGAATCTCTCAAATTTTCAAAATATTTTTCCTTCATAGGATCACTATGAATCTTCAAAGACCCAGACATTTCAATTGGACGTGAATTTATAAATTAAATTTTTGCATTTTCATTTCTGCATTAGTTTATCTGAATACTTGGTTACGAAGATTTCTTTAGCAACAACTAACATACATAAGCTATCACACACACATTTTACTGTATACTTGAAAGTTACCATTCTCCAAGCACCCTACTCACCCCTTGGCCCAGCTTCTTCCGGTAAGTTTTATAACGTAAACCCAATCCAAGCAAACCAACACCAACAAACAGCCACAATACTTGAAATAGAAAAACACCAAAAAAATGTTTTTAATTCGAGAAAAATAATGTTATTATTGCTGTTAAACAGGACATTGTTATTCTAAGGAGTGCTATTCACAGAATAAGAAATGTGTTGGTTTAAATGACAACACCAGATCAAGGCAGTATCTATGCATGCAGAATATGCATATGTGTACAAGTACACTTATGGATGCTAGCTTTGGAGCAGGCTGCAGGCCCATGGCCTCTCAGTCCTGCCTGAGAAGCTAGCCTGAGAACTTCATAGGAGGATTTCAAAACAATCCTCAGAGACAGAAAACAACTGCCAGGTGCTGTTTGTCTGTCCTCTTGTTTTCCTTGCAGGAGAAAGTCAGGGGGGTGGTGAGCCCCCTGACCAATGATAGTGATGTAGCACTTTGCTAACCAATAAGAGTTTCTTTTCTGTACCTTCCACGTACCAGTCTATAAAACAGGCCTGAAGTAATAAACCAGAGAATTCTCGTGTTGTGACCCCCTTGAGAGTCCATGTCGTTCTTTATCGCCGTTCCCAATCAGAACGACAGACACTCTCCAAAACACAACATGCTGAGCAGATAAAAGGTACCAAAACTCCTTGGAATAGTTATGTAAAAATTACTCCTAGCAAATAATTCATTATAGGACATGAATTAGAACATGAAGGGAAAACCCTTCAGTGTTTTCCTCTCTGTGTGCAAGTATGCATTTGTAGTGCACAATTTTTGTCTTGTATTAATACAATGTGTGGAATAAATTTTAGTTTACTTTGCTGAAATGTCAGATGTCAGAAAGATGTGACTCTTGCCGGACTTACGGAGTGGTCATTTGTTTGACATACTCTTGGAAAGACAGTGCAGCTTCATAGAAAGCATATTCAGAGCTTTCTAATTGCTCCTGTAGCATTACAAACAACCACAGTGTGCACTTAGAAGCTCTCACCAGTCAGCACAATGTAATTTGATGATCAAAGCCCTCTGCAGTTACTCTATTTACACAGTGGCATATGCTATCTACAATGATTTTAGTAACTCCAGTTTGTTCTTTCATGTATTTAAAAAGATGTTAAACTATTTTAAGGCAAGTTTTCTGGAATTGTTTTGGGTAAAATTTAATACATACAATACATTTAATTGTATTGTAATGTAATGTCAGGAAGAAAGACATGCTGCTTATACTAGCACATGTCAAGCAATTTCATACTCTGCAAGACACAAAGGTTCTTAGAATGGAAGCTGAGAAACAGTACAAGTCTGGGCATGATGAGGAAGTACAAGAGGTACTGCTGCAACATTACAATATTAGCTGAGCAAAGGCTGCACTTCGTGACTGGTAGTATTTTTAAATATGAATTTACTTTTGTGAAATGTTTCTTAGCAGTAATATTCAAACCACTTGAAATGGTGCTCATGTTGTCTCTGACACACAAACTCTCGCAGGCCACATTCTTTTGGCCCCTGAGTATACAGGATAAAGACCTCCATAAAGATTCCAGAAACAGCCCTGAAAAACTGTGAAGCACTACTCTCTCCTATTCCCAAATACAGCAAAATGTACACAAATGGCAGGCGATTTGCTCCAAAGTCATAGAAGAAAGGATGCAGGAATTGGAATCTTCAGCATCCTGATCTCTGTAGGGTTACCATGCCCTCATGCCTAGCATTTTATTCCTCTACCAAACTTCACACTATAGATAGACATTCTTCTTTAGAAACAGTAAGCTGACACTGAAAACAAATCAGGAATTCAAATGATTGTAGAGAAATGGTTGAAAATATTTGTCTGGTTTAAAAGCCAAAAAGTGATAAAACTTCAAACATTTGATTTTCATTTCTCTTAAAAACCTAAGGAAAAAAGCAGACCTCATACATACAATCTGAAAATCTGTGCTGTCACACTGCACTGCTTCAAGATTGCCATACTGAATGGCTGGGAAATCATTCATATCTTTTGTACACACAATGTAATGCCAAGACCCAGAGAGGCCTCCTCCTCAGCCACTAAAATGAAACCACAAATGATGCTGGATCCATTTTCACATTTGTTTTTTTGCCCAGTTTCTTGTCTCTGTTTAACGCATTCCATTAGGAGTAGCCTCTGTCAGTCATAATCACAGTGAGTCAGTTCCTCCAGTAGTACATGTCATCATTTACCTGGAGCTAGGGAAATACCATCCACCAGTCTGTCTCAAACTAGTACCAAAAAAACAATTTCTAACACATCTCAGAAAATACTCTACAGCGTTTTGTCTTTTTTCCTCAGACAGTATTCTTAGAGTCATGCAGAAAAGTAACTAAAATTATACTTACATAGTTTAATACACTTTTTACTCCTTTTGAAGAATGGTTTTTGATTGCTTTTCACTTCAAAGACAGAGCTAAGGTCTTTCTTGGGTCCTGTTAGAAAGTCTACTCCAATACATAGCATTATAAAACCTGTAAAAATATAAGCAATTCATTTTTTCATAGACTTTTAACATATTAAACATTGCTCATAAACATGTATTTTATGAACTCCCAGCTGTTGTGTTGCAGCACAACAACCTTATGGTTCCAACAACAAAGATGATTCAAAGCAAAATGCAGATAAATGCCATACGTACTGAGGCAATGCAGGAACTATGACATTTACTGACAAGTATTTCAAGTAAAGACTGATTTGCAGTACAGCTCCAGGATATTATTTCAAAAAGGCTAATACATAGCAGAAAAATTATGCTAAAATTCTTCCAGGTCCTACTGATGGCTACAACTCTTCAGCTGGGCCCACTGTTTTCAAAGTTTACTGAAATTAACCTGGACAAGTACGACTGAGTTACACCTCCATATTATTGAACCTTAAAATAACAGCTTGATGAAAAAAAGTACATTGATGATTTCATATATTTATTATCTTTGACAATGAACTGCTCTGTCACAAGATACATGGAACACATTTTTCAAGTAGGAACTACAAAAGCAATTGCTCAACACTTTGTTATAAAACAGCAGCAGGTTGGAAGGTCAATTTAACATGGTAGCAACTTGTATTGTGGAGCTCCAGAGCCAAAAGAATTAGTTCTACTTTTTAAGAATAAAAACTAAACATACATACAGATACATTTTAAAAGCTAGCAAGCAACTTCAGTGTGCTAACTGTTGCAATGTGTAGGGACGGTATCTTTGCAATAAGTAGCTCAAACTAACAGTACAAGGTCTTTTCCAATCCCTAATGAGATAAAGAATCCAATTACTTTCAAAGAAAGCATGGGAGGATAATGAACTAGATAAGAGCTCTGCTGGAGAAGATATATTCCCTTAATATCTTTGTGGCATAGTTAATTAATTATAGAAGCCATATTTTACTTCAGAGTAATACTTAACTATTACTCAGTATTTTTTTATTTCCCTTACTTGTTACATTAGTTGTAGTGAAAGTTTGCAAACACGCACACTGGGCCTAGCACAATGAAGGGGCGTGCACAAAACCTTTCTCAAAGGGTGACTGATTCATATCCGTTAATGTTGATGAAGATCAGGAATCTAACCCCTCAGCATTGTATCACATCACAGCGAAGCAGCAGAGAAGATTTTAATATAATGATCTTACTTTCATTGTCACTTTTCCTGGTTTTCCTGGCAGTTCCCTACCCAAACTGCAGCAAGAGAAAGGCAGGATATTGGACAGAAGAAAGCAAGAAATAGCACTTGCACCTGGAAGAAACCAGAAGAAAACCAGCAGTTTGCCAGAAAGTGAAGCTCTAAGGGTAAAAGCACAACAACAAATACAAAATCTCATGGTATAATCTCTGATGAGCTATGCGGTGGCATCAAAAAAAATAGAAACTGGATTCTCAGATGGAATTTAAACTCATGTAATGCCATCAGCTGAGATGTGTTACATTTACAGTTTTCTTTACCAAAGAGAAAATTAGGGCCACCTCTCTGTTACTACCCAATGATCATGCCAGGCAAATTAATCACAAGTGTGAATTTCAACAGAAGTACCAGAGAGGAATTTTGAATAAAAGTATTTCTTTTGTGAAAGCATTACTCAAGAAAGCATTTGACACTCTTCTATTGCTTTCTTCATGTAACTTAAAAAAATTTAATTTAACTAGTTAAGATAACTACTTCTAAAGACTATTCAGAATGCTTTCAGAACAAAGAAAATAATGCAGTAATGGAATGAAATTCTCCTCAAAACTTAATGAAATCAAATCCTTCATGTGAATGCTGGAATATAAGAAGCACACAAGGAGAGTTAGAAACTGGAGTGATACAAAGTGGTTACTGGCATTTATGAAATTTGAAACCTTTGGAGCAACAGGTTAAGCACAGCATTCATTAATTCTTTCCAAATAAAATATAGGCTAATGCATCACATTTAAAAAATGTCCCACACAATTAGCCCAAGACAATGTTTGGCATTGTTTAAATATAGTTAGTGAAATATGCCATTGAACCATGTTAGTGCCTATTACAAAAATACTTCTGGAGACAGAACCAGGAAGAGTTGGTTTCCTTTCCACCGTCTCCACCCTCATCAAGTGATCATTCTGCTAAAGCCTTTGTATTTGCTCAACTCAGTTCTTCCTTATTTGCAAATACCTGACAATTTATTTTCTGCCTGTCCTGTTCATGTGCTTCTGACACTACAGGCTCATCTGAATTCCCCCAAACATGCTGGTGTGTTTAAAAAACATAAGGTGGAGCCACACAGGAAAGAAGCTCAGGTCTCCAATGCAGACTAGCTAGATCAGCAGGATGCTGCACTTTGCTCTGCAGAGCAGGGCTAAATAATGCACTGAATTACAGTACAGTCCCAGTAGCTACCCTGTTACCTGAGGCACTGCTGCCTTAGGTAGCCAGCATATTTGTGCATTCACACCCTGGATTGCAGCCATATTTTTAGGGTGACTAACACATCTCTTCCTCCACTGCGTACTTTAGTTATCAGACATTTTTCTACTTTGTCATTTTCCCTTAACCGAATTCCATTTTCTGTCCACATTTTAGACTCTTCCTAACAAGAAGAAACAAGTAGATTATTTTTTGCATATCTCATTAATTTTTGCGCTGAAACTCTTACCACAGTAAGTAAGTAACTGAGCATTTGAAAAGACTCTTCATACACTAGATACATTTCACATGTCTGCCTGAGGCTTAAGCAAGCATATTTGTATTTGTTGATTATCACAGATGTACCTAGAAGAAGATGGGAGCTTTCTCTAATGTAAACTCCTCCAGGCACAAATTTATAAGCTGTACACCAGACACAGAAGAATAATTCAAGGACATAGGCAAGCATGGCTGTACTCATGGCTTTCCCAGGATGCAGACAGCTAACAAAGCGTCCAGCTAGTTGAGGCCACACACACATAGTAAAGATACCAAGAATGTTGCCTGCAACAGCAGCACTCCAGGTATGTAAATAAAGGAGACCAGCTGAAGATGCCAAACCTGTGAAGGGATAGAAAAGAATATAGTAAGTCTCAGTCAGGTATATTATCCACCACATTCATTTTCATATTCTGACTAGCAAAAAAATAGAGTCTGGGAAATATTTCACTTTCCAGCTATGAAAACTATATCTATAGGAGGACAGTTATTCACAGTAGCCAAAGGTAGCCTTTTATTTTTCCCAGTATCTCATTCTTTTAAACATTGCCTATTCAGCTGAAAACAGTACAGCAAAAAGAGGGCAGAGAAGCATCATCAAGAGCCAAAATTGAACAGTTTTTCTGACAGAGTTCCTGAGCACAACAGAGGAATTATGCAGTTCCTAAGAGAGTAATAGGTCTGTCAATTATGAATCTTTTACCATAATACAGAAAGAATCAAATAGATTAATATGAAGAGAAAACTTTTCCTGATATTTCCCTATAGATAACAATAGGATGGGCAAGAAAGCAACTATTAATCTTTTGCTAACTGCAAGATCCTTGACTTACCATGCTATCTTTGATATGGTGATTTGACCCTAAACAGAACATTAACAACCACAGAACCTCTCTATAAGAGGACAACTTCATTTTAAAACGTTATCGTAAGTATAAATATTTACTGTCACACCACGAAAGCAAATGTATAGGAATGTTTTTAATATTTAACTCTTACACATCAAGGTTCTGAACATTTTAGAATACAATGCTTGAATCACCTTTCTGTGCTTGTTTTAAATAAGCAATGTGTGAACAACAAAAATCAAATGTTCATGCTTACATTACAATCTGCACACACATTTCTTAACACTAAAACCTGCCTGTTCATACTATTTTACTGCCTGCAGAACTTGTCAAATAAAGAGACAAGAGGCAAGTTTGTCCCCAGGTAGACTGCCTGTTAAATTACAAGCTATTTTGCCTCCTGTGTAATTTTGAGAGGCTTGTGTCATCTCAACCCTATAACCTTAGATGTGGCCTTATAGAATCGCTAAGGTTGGAAAAGACCTCTTAGATCATCAAGTCCAACTGTTAAACAATGCAGATGGTCAGAACTGAGATGCTCTTAAGGGAACAGAACCTTAACAGGGCTTCTGAAGACAATAGCACTGCTCTGCAATGGTCTGGAGGTTTGGCCTGTAACCCTTAGTCAACTGGTCAGACAGATGTGTAGTACCGTCAGTGGCAAGAGAAAAGGAGGCTTTGATTAGCCACACTCTTCTGAGATGTGGTGTCAGGTCAGAGTACTTGAGTAAAGGCAGTAAGGTAACAGACAAAAATTCTGCTCAGGATTTGCACCTACCTATGAGAAACAAGGCAAAACTGATGACAGAAGACCAGCTCCAAAATGAAAGCATCAGTCCATGAGCAAGGCCCAACAGAACTGTACCTCTGAAACAGCAATAAGGAAGAAGAAAACATGCACTAATAAGATTTTAAAAACACCAGACATTGAAAAAGAAACTTCTAGATATACAGACAAGGGACCTTGGTAATATAATTCTTTAAACAAAGCTAAATTTTGCTCACACTCAGCTACATTTTCTTCCCTGTATTTTATGCAAAAAAGCATCCAGTTGAAAATAATGGCAATTTACTGTAATGTATAAGTGAGTTGTGTTCAGGAGAAAAAGCAGTCCTCTGAAATCTTGGTACAAAAGGCAAAAAATTATTTTCTTCATGTTAAATAAGGACTCCTACAGTATCTAACACTGGTCTTAGTCTTGGGGAGCTCTTTTGTATACCAATTCCAGATTATAAACTCTGCCACCTGCCATCACATGTTGTTGACTTCAAATAACTAATCTGGTCTCTTTCTAGGTTTTGGAACCTGAATGAACTGCACACAGCATTAAGACTAAATTCTTATTAATCAAAAATTCTGCTGAAGTATATCTTTTAATATTGCACACAGTTTACTTTATATTTTGTGCATGCATCTCTGATCATCTTCTCTCTGAAGCAAACTACTAGATTAATTTACTGCATATTATAGATGCACTGCATTTGTAAATCCTCGAACCTCAGTCCCAAATCTAAACATTGTTTTGAAATGTGGCAAACCAAGATTTTAGTCCTGACATAAAAATAATTCTGTATCAGAAAATTTTAAGGTCTGGACAAAATGCTCAGAGATATCTCAAAGGAAGAATGAATCCTCTGTGTGAAGTACCTTGTGCCCACTTTTTTCTTTCTAAATTCTTATACCACCATCAGGTTGAGTTTTAATTTGTCACCCACTACAGCACTGGATTTTGATTACAATTTTGTAGTAGTAGTAGTAGTAGTAGTAATAGTAGTAGTAGTAGTAATAATAATAATAATAATAATAATAATAATAGTAATGCACTCACCCATATGGATTAGGATCTGGACCTGTATGTGGATGTCCACTTACTGCCCATCTAGAAATTAATGATACCTCCCCAAATATCCACAGAGTGAGGAACATGAGGCTGCCAAAAGCAATCCCTGATAAAAACCAATGAGGATGGGAAGCAGTCTCTCTAACCACATTACTAGTTTTGTTTGTTTCTTGTTTCCTCTTGTCTCTACCTGGGATAAGAATAGAAATACAGCTAAGCAAACTGTCAAATCCTATTAGCAATCTCATATTACTGAGAAAAAGAAATAGCCAAAATCACAAATTTACTAGAATAAATTACATGCACAAAAGCTAATTCATCTAATTAGGATTGTGTTATCAGAAACTGATAACCCCCCCAAAAATTTAAAATCCTTACTAACAACCTGGGTCTGTCAAGAAAATATAGTCACTGTAAGTGGTCAAAAATGCCAACCTGCCCATCTGATTATTTTCCATATTACTGGAATTTAAATATTTAAACTGGCTTTGAAAATCAGCAGAAAAGTTATTAGAATTTGTTCAGAGGCTTCTGTTCTCTGAAACTCTAAACTCTGATAAGAGCAAAACCTGACACTTCCAAATAAGCCAGAAATAAACTCCCTTCCTTCTCCTTTTTTCCACATGCTTTAGAACCACTCTCATCTAAGGAGAAAGCAGTACCTTTAATTGCACAGACATACCATTTTGTCACCCACAAACAAGACAGATTTCCTTCCTAATCTCCTTTAGATTCCCTTTCTAAATTCTGATGAAAGTTCAGGCTTAATTTAGATCATGTAATGCAAGCTTACAAACAATATGCATGATGCTAATTTATACCTACTTACACATAGATAAGGTTTTATCTTTCAATTAATTCATTAGGGTTATACTGAGAAGGAAGGAGATTCTGAGGATTTAACATGAGCTGCCTTAACTAACCAACCCAACCTTGCTGTCTTCCTTGGCAATACCACCTCCACAGTTTAGCCTGTGCCAGCCCCCACTGCTGAGTACTCTGTGCAAACACACCAAGAACTTGAGCAAAGTTTAATTGGGACAACTCTTCTATTCCTCCAATTCTTTCTGTTTGTTTTCACATATCAGCTGTTCCCCAATTTTGTCTTGTCTCCCCTTCTCTGTTAAAAGAAACACACTGGCAAAGAAACTCAAAGTGCAAACTGAATTAACATAACAAAAACACCACAAATGTTTCATGCTGGAAAGACAATAATCCATTCTAGTTTTATTGGCCTATCTTATGCCTTTGTTTGTGTTACTGTCGTATTGTTGACACTGCAATAAGGAAAAAGAGGCAGTTCCAGCATCAACTTACTGCAGCTTGTATGAATTGCGATACCAGTTCTGCCATACTATGGGCAGATGGAAGTACCCCACGGCATCTAAAGCCTGCAATGCTCATGCAGCAGGTCTAAAACCAAACCGTGTTGGGGAAAAAAAGTCAAAGAATCAAAACCCAGTGACACATAGCTAGGTATACTTTAGGTTCTTTTCATAACCACCATCTTTGCTGCAGTATGCTTACCTGAATGAATTCGCTCCACTGCTACTACAAAACCAACTGTCAGTATGACAGTATTGGCAACTCGTGAGCTCCAGACTGGATTAAGTGATGTGTACCAAATACGAAGAACAAGGAGCATTATCTTGCCTAGCATGAAGCCCCATATCCTGATGAACCTGTAAGAATCAGTTTTGCAAATAGTGAGGCATTTGGTGGTTTAAAAAAAAAAAAAGAAAGCAGCTTTTCATATAAACATCAGTTAAATTCTATCAGTATAAGAAAATACCTTTGTAAACTGTTTCCTGACCACCATGTTACTGTTTGAACCAGCAATGAAGAAGAAACACCAGCAGCCAAGATGAGTAGTCTAATTGAAGCATTTGGTGCATGGTATGATGCTAAGCTTCCTATAAACAAATACACACACACAGAGGCTACTTTAATGATCAAGAGAGACTGGGTAATAAGGATTTCCTGTGCATTAGTTAACATTGGCTGTAATTTGAATGGCTATACCACTTATCTGAAAACACATGACACTACACATTTTTAAACAAACCAAAGAACTGTAGATATACACAGAAACTGGGTACACGTGACTTCATAGCAGTTATGATTTTCAAGGAAAAAATTTATATGAAGCAATTATCCAACAATCCAAGTGATTGCCTTTATTTAAGCACTTAGGGTTATTGAGCCATAGAGAAGATATAAGGATAAAATGTCTAAGCATACAGATATTCCTCAACTATGAACTTAGATATCTAAATCAAAAGCCATACAGTTTTATGGACTGTGACTGCTCCTTTCTAAAAAGGATATGGTTTTTGCCACAGCACACTTATAAAATAAATACACTATGGCCAAAGCCACTTTCTTTATTAGACAGGAGCAGTCACCACACACAGCACAGGGATTAATAATCAACTGCCTCAGTAGGGGTGAACAAGACTTTCTCTGGCTCAGTATCTGGTCTCAGAAGTGGTCACTACCAGCCTACACCATTTCATTACTGAAAACTATCACTGTCCCAGCCACTGAAAGAGAGCACGTGCACACATCTTTGCCATTACCCAGGGCACAGTGACCCCGCATTACCAATTGTTTTAAACTCTGCTACCAGGTTTCCAATGCAAGAGAGTATGGACCACATATATTCTCGTAACTCCAGTCAATGTGGAAAATTCTGGCCCAGGACCAATGACAAACAACAGGAGAAGCAGCAACATTGTTTTGATACCAGCCATTTGCTAAGTGAGTATGACTCAAACTTGAAGAGATGTTAAGCAAGTAATGTCAGAAATGGAGCTGCAGATTCTGGCAACACATGCTAGGAATCCTCCAACTGTTTATCTGCTCATTCTGCTCAGAGTAAAAGATGCAAAGCTTAGAGCCAAGATGATAAACAAGATCAATGTGCAGTAAAGGTGTACTTGCATGGACTTCAACAGAGGTTTCATGTACAGTACACACAGATTGCTGTCACGAAATTGTGCTGGCAATCCATAAACCTGCCTCTCCAAATATTTCATCATGTGCGCTACCCTGATTAAAGGCAGCATGGGTTTGCCAAGTTAGAGCAGACACACCTTTTGTTGCTGTGCAAGTACACCCAAGACTTAAATATATCTATCCAAATACCCAAATTTAACGTAGGTTGTCTGAAGACACAGATGCAAATAGACACTTCCACAGGATACTTTGTTCTTGTTTGTTTTTGAACCCACAGGATACTTTGTTCTTGTTTGTTTTTGAACGGAACACAAAATCAAGTAGTATGAAAGGATACAGAAAATAGAAATTACAGGGAAGATAAAACTTCCTGAAAAGGTGGAAAGAAACAGAAGAGAAAAAAAAAATCGTCCCCATAAATATCTGGTCTTAGCTAAGCATGAAAAAATAAAATTGTCTCAGCATGAAGGAGGAAAAAAGCAGGAAGAACTGAGAAACTGGAGAATCAGCAGCACAGTATGATGGGACAGAACTAATCTAAAAGACCAACATAGGCCTGTCATTGCTCTTTATTTAGCAGAATAAAAATGACACACTTTTTTCATCTCTTCCATCTCTTTTGGTAAAGTGAACTAAACACAGCAAGGTGATCTGAAGGACTAATCTTAAATAAACATGGCAAATTTTGTGTTACTGTCACATCTGAAGGAAGGTAAGGTGCAATTTTAAATGCTTACACTCACTCCTAGTTTCTAGACTAGAAGATCTTGCAGAAAGCACTACACTATGCACTGCTGCAAGAAGCTGAAGATTCTGCTCACTGAGAAGCTTATTACTAAACAGCAAGAAAAGTATTACAATGGATATAATGGGAAGAGTAGGAAAAGGAAAGAACATGGTAACACTATTCTTCATGGAAATCAATAACACCAATAAACTGTGCTTAGCTCTAGTATTTTTCTAGAGATAAAGAACAAGAATTCTTTTTAGAAAAACTACACAGGGAAAGTAAATAAGATGCTCTTACTCTGTCTTCTAACAGTAAAAGAGGAAAACTATAAGGAAAGTGATTATCTGTCTATCTTACATTGACAAATAAGAAGCTAGGATCTGCTGCTTCTAAAACACATCACTCAGCAGCAGCATTTTCACCTCTACACACGATGGAGACCCTTGTCTCCTCTGAGTTCATCCGGTGTGGCAAACTCTTTAGCAATAGCTTGCTTCTGAATGTGGCTGTACCTGCCAAATCTTCCCCTAAAAAAATTTCTAAAAATCAACAAGAGCTAAGATTTGCACCAGTTAGCTAAAGACTAAAGTGGGAATCCCAGCATGTCTTGGTTTAAGGAGGAGCCTGTGGAATAGGAAATGGGGTATCTGTTTCCTGCGTTTAAGATCAAATTTTCATCCTGTGCAACTGACCATATGAGGGTTATTTCATATTTAGGATGAGCCTATAACCCCGCTACAGGCATGTAGATAGATAGATTTAATTTTAAAAATACATTCTTAGAAGAAAAAATTGCCTCAGAAATTAAAAAATAATGTTTCAGTCATAGAAGACTGTTTTTATAATAGCCCCAAGCTGTTCTATAATGGCTCATCCCTAGCCGTTGTCACAATACAAAAAAACACCTGCTCTGCTAATATTTGAGTGATACTGAAAACACCTTTCCAGCTGAGCATCACTCACACTAAATTAAAAGCTCCTAGCAATAAAAGTAAAGATTTTGTTCTCTATTTATACAATACAATGGCTGCAAACAATATTTCTCTGACCATAGCTAAAAGCTTAAGAGAAAAAAAAAGAAACCAACAAAATGTGAGTATGGGGAGAGCAAGAACTTCTTTTTCCTGTATCTTTTTGTAATCCTCTGAATTTTAAGGCAATTTGGAATGTTTGTTCTTATACACTGACACCAAAATGGAATCTGTAACTCACCGCAGTGTGTACTTACCAACCATAGTCAATCTCAGAAAGGCTAAGACATACTTATTGTTAGCCAGCCTCCAAAAGGGGCCAAATGTCAAGAATATCGGGGAAAGGAAGGCAACAGCAAAAGCTTCCAGGCCTGTGAGTGCCAGTGTCTGAAGTGGGAAGTAGTAGATCATCGGTGGCAGTGCATGGTAAAGAGACCAAGAAATGTAGCCTAAAACAAGAACCAACCAAAAAAAGAAAACTCCATCATGTATTTTCAACAAGATTTCCTGGAGATTACTTAAAAAGTACCATTTTGTACTTTCGCATATAGATTATCAAATGTATTTTAAAGCAGTTCAAGCAACAACAGCCACCTTCTGTCAAGAAATGTTTGTTATTTCAAGTTAAACAAACACATTTTCCAAGGAAATAGAATGATGAGAATAAAACAGCTCTTCCCCCACTCACACAGCAGTTCCTCCTTTGAACCTCAGTGAAGTGCTCAACTTTGCAAAGGATTGGTGTTCAGAGGGCTGGCTAAATAAGCAGTCCACTCACAGTCTCAGGGCTCCTCAAAGGCAGACTGGTGGCTAAAGGCATTATTCTAGTAAATCGGTGTGCTGGTCTCTCCTGGAGACACCTTGTCCAGGCACAGTGGCACTGCGCTGAGTTTCCAGGAGATGCACCGAGCAGACGATACCGCGGGTGCCGGCTCTGGCGACCACCCTCGGCACCCCGCCTTGAGCAGCACAGCACCGGCTCTGCAACACCTGCACCAACATTTGGCCGGCAGCAGCAAAACATTCTAAGCTGATCCAAGAGCCTGCACGTACGGTGAGCCCCGTGAAACCTGCTACGGCCGGTGCCGGCTGAGCCCCCCGGTGCCCTTAACCGCGGCCCCTCGCCCCCGGCCCCGTCGGGAGGCACAGCCGCCACCTACCCAGGAGACTCTCCGAGAGAACGGCCTTCCACAGGGGAAACATCGCCCCCGGCGCCGGCCGGCTCGGCGGGGGCTGCGTCCCTCTCACCGAGAGCCGAGTCCCGAGTGCCCGGGAGGCGCGGCNCCGCGTCCCCGCGGCGGGGGCGCGCAGCCCACACGGCTGGAGAGAGCTCTCCGTGCCCCTCACGGCCCCGCCGCGCCCAACGGCCAGGAGGAGCCCCCCCGCCACTCAGGTGTCAGCAAAGGAGCATTTGTCCCCTGAGCAGACACGCCAGCAAGAAAAATAAAAGCAAAAGTTGTCATAGCACAAGCTGGAGGGGAAAAAGAGGAACTAACCCACTCGGCAGCTTGGACAAACGCACGTTTCACTACGGGGCGTTCGGGGATGTCCGAATTAGTACTGTGCTCACCTCTGTGAAATGTGTGTGGTTTTGTAGCAGAGTAAGGACTTCTGAAAAGCAATGCTGTCTACAAAAAGCACCAAAAGAAGCATTTCGTTTGCTGAGATTCCTGAGTAACTACCTTTGTTAATTTTAGAAGAAATCCTGAGTTAAATCGACCCAGCCGTGAACACAGCTGCCAGGTTCTGGCGAAAAAATTACATAAGCAAAATCTCAATTTTAGAATTTTTGAGCGGTGGCACGAAAAGCAAAATTGTAACTATAAGCTAAGAATTAAGAAGTCTTTTGCTGTTAGAATATATCACCATCTTAAGTTTTATCAATCTTCATACAGCTTCCTATAGAACTGCCACCTGTATCTTCTCATCTGTGTTAAAACTACTGTCCTATTCTAAATAAACCTTATGGGATGCATTCTCTTTCCCCAGTTTGTGAAACTCTAAATCCATAGGAATAAACTATAAACACCTAACATCTATATGACTTATTATTAGCAATAAAGTCTGGTCAAGACGTTTGAGAGGACATGGTACAAAACTAAATTTTGCTCTAGAAGTCCTGAAGTCAAGTGATTCATTCACCCTGCAGTATGATGGGGTTCAGTTATTACAAAAAGTCTGTTGGATTTTGGCCGCTATTTGAAATGTGTTTTAAAGTTTTGAAATGTTTTTTAAATGTCCACAAAAGAATTAAAGTATTTTGATGGAAAAGTTGACCTCACTAGGGAAGGAAGAATGAAACTCCTAGATTTAATGAGCTTCTCCATTTTCTCCAAGTTCCATGTCATTAAAGGCAACTTTCTTTTTCTTCATTAAAGCAAAGTCATACCAGAATAGTTATCAAGCTCACTTATCACTGGCTTTCAGGATTATGTAAGTGATGACACCATTTCATCTTGCTGTGGTGTGATGCAAATGGAAGATGAGATCTTCGGCTAGAATAAACCCAGAACATGGCTGCTTTTGGAGCTGTGTAGTGGGAGCATGAGGCTCACAGCATGTGTTCACCCAATAAGTATTTGAAAAAATTTTGCAACACTTTTTGTAATTACAGTGTCTTGCTTCATGGTTCAGAGGTGGAGTTCCAGTTAAACTAGACTTGTCTGGAATTGTGAACCTGATATGCTTGTGCCTTCCATTTAACTCATAATGCAATGAAAATAATGCAAATCCTGACAAATTTAGCAATTGTATTCTGGTACTCTCTCTGAGATTCGTAGTAACTATTAAGTTTGGCTTCACATGCCACAAAGTTACATTCTAGTGCTGCCTGTAGGGCTGATATATCTGAGCGTAGGAGCAAAAGAGGAGAGAGTTTTCAGGTTTTAAACATAATGTCTTAAACATAAAAGTCAATGCTTGCAAGGTGCTTAGTCACACATGTATATGTAGCAATGCCTTTCACTGCATTTTTTTTTATTCCTGGAGTGCCACAGGTGTACTTGACAAAAAATAAAGCAAAAACATTTGATCTTTATAGGAATACAATGATGTTAGACTAATAAAGTCAAGGAAACACTACAGGAGGAGTTTCCACTCACAAAACAAGAAGCATTTTCATTCTAGAATAGTATTTAAGACACCCGTACCCTAAGGCAGACATAAAAGATTATCTGAATTTAACAGCCTCATAATTACATTGGTTGACAGGGGTAAACTTTTCTAAAGCTAGTGATTGTAAAAAATAATGCTTTATTTGGGTTCAAACTGCAATACAAGCTTGTTTTGAAGCCCAAGTAAACACATGGCATTTGAAAGAACTTTCAGACCCCTGTGAGAAGTTGTCCCTGCATATTGCCTGAGATGCCTGAATGAGCATAATGAAGAAGCAGAAAAAAGTGCCAGAGAAATGGGGGAAAAAAAGAATTAAAGTATGAGAAAAGATTAGGATTAAAACCACAGCTCTGGAAAAAGGCAGAAGTGGGGAGTTTACAGTTAGGCACCTGTCACAATCTTAGTGGAAACACAAATGCATGCACATCTCTGAAAACATTTCACTGGGTACTTCACACTGAGAAGAGGAAATCATATATCTTCAACACTTCATAATTACCAACTATTCACTTGTAAAAGACAGCCCAGACCAAGTATAAAACAGAAGTACATCCAAGAATCAGTCAAGACACAGAAAACTTACATGATTCCTTGTAAGTAGTGAGAACAGTTTAATGTTTTACTCAGAAGTATGTTGACTGTTTCCTGCTGTGACTTTTCATGTCTTTTCCTTTGCCCTTAACTCCTACTCCCATGGAAGTAGCATGAGAACAATGCCTTGTCGTGTAATTCTTACTTCGTTTTCCTTGCTCTGTTATGGTTACAAAGCACGGGGGTGGAGCTTGGTTTCCCAGGGAATTTTAAAGCAATTAACAGCTTGATTTTGTAACAGACAAATAAACCACGTTTATCATAAGTGGTAATTGTTCCTCCTTCTGGCATGCACTGTCTACAAACGTGGAGTGTTTCTGTTAAATATGTGCACCAGAAAGACTTTGCTTTGGTGGATGTGGTGAACCTCAGGACCCTGGCAACCCTTCAGTGTTTTCTTAAGAGGTTCTTCAGTCAAGCAGCCAGAGCCTGTAGACCTTCCTTGAGTTTGTGAAATCTCAGTGCTTAATCTCCCTCTACTCTGACAACAGATAATTTCTACTCAGCTAAACATTCAATTCCATATTGGTTGTTTTATTTTTGTTATCACTTCGGATTTTTTTTTCTTTGATGTGTAAAGTTGGTTTTGTTCCAGGAGCGGTAAGAATCTTTTTTGCTTTGTGTTTGCCCTTCCAAAACACTAACATTTAATGGTTTCTATTACCTATTCTCCATTTTTGTAACTCTGAGGAACACCAGATAAATCTTGGAAAGAAAGAGTGAAGAAAATATTAAATTGTGATAACCAACTTTACATTTAAAGTTACTATTAAAAAGAAGCTTAAACTGATTTTTAATAGGCACTCTTACACAGAAAGGTGCAAGAACCAAACAGTCCTATCTCTAGGCAATCACTATCCCCAGGCATACATATGGCCCATGAGAAAATTGTCATTCCAGTGCCTTTTCATTTTATGTTCAGTTTAAGCTGGCCCAGTTAAGAAGTTATTGGTTATTAAGTACTCCAGATGGGATTCTCTTGTGTATTGTGTTTCTCAGAATAGCATGTAGCCAGTATCTAATAAATAGTTTTCATGTATGTATTCAAGAATACGTTTTACATCCCAGGATACATTAGATACACTTTCAAGACTTGTTTTAGGACAATACTCTTGCCCAGCCTCCATGTGAGAAGCACATTTTGCAGCAGCAAAGTCTGATTCTCTAGTTTGGCAGGCAGGAGTGGGAGAATAGTCTGGTGAAAGGGGCTTCAAATAGCCAAGACTCATGCAAGCTGAAAGATTCTTTTGTGCTTAAGAAAATTAACTACAATTTGTGTTTCTTATGAAACTGAGAGGCCAAGGTCATGCAAAAGGAAGAAGATTAATGGTGATCTCACAGGCTACTCATTTCATGAAAAACACTGAAGTGTAATATCACCATTTAGGATACTCTACTGAAAACTATTATATCTTGCTGTGAAAAAAACAAGGCAAAACAAAACAGAATCAAAGATCTTTTTTAATAAAATAAAATGCAACATAAGACTCATGTTTATACTTTTTGTTTTAGAAAACTTATTCTTAAATAAAGGCATTGCATTTCTCATTTCAAAGAAAGTGGAACCATTTTTTTCAGTATTCCTAGAACAACCTTTCCCACACCCAACTGACATTTTCAGGATAACTTTTTCTTGCAAAATTATTTTTGCTTAATGAAAGTGCCTTTCTTATTTGTTTAATTCTTGATAATATTAAAATTTATTTATTTACTTACATAAGCATCACAGGAGTAAAATCAAAGTAGATAAGGAACACTTATCATTCCAAAGCGGTCAAAGTAGAATTTATTGTTACTTTCTCAAAGAACAAGATTTCATTTCCAAAAAAATTATTTTCAATTCGTAGGACAGACCCCATATGTTGTATGCTCGGCTCCTCACTACAAGAAAGACAAGAAGTTACTGGAGAGGGTCCAGTGGAGGCCACAAAGATGATGAGGGGTCTGGAGCATCTCTCTTGAGGAGAGACTGCAGGAGCTGGGCCTGTTTAGTCTAGGAAAGAGAAGACTGGGAGGAGGGCTCATCAGTGCATATAAATATCTCAAAGGCAGGTGTCAGAGAATGGTGCCAGACCCTTTTTGGTGGTGCCCAGAAACAGGATGAGGAGTGATGGCCATCAACTAAAACAAGAAGTTCCATCTAGATATGAACTTCTTTACCTTGAGAGTGGCAGAGCACTGGAACAGGCTGCCCAGGGAGGTCACGGAGTCTCCCTTTCTCCAGACATTCCAAACCCACCTGGACACATTCCTGTGTCACCTGCCCCAGGTGATCCTTGCCTCAGCAGGGGGGTTGGACCAGATGACCTCCGGAGGGCCCTTCCAACCCTAACGATTCTGTGATTCTGTTATCTTCGTTAACACATACCCTCGCTAAAAAAGCGTTCTGAATTTCACCGGGGAAATCCGAGAACGCGTAATTTTCTTAGCGTGGCCGCTGTTCTTCTACCGGAGCAGCCCACCGGCAGGCCAGAAGTTCTCGTGTGATCCCCGTGGGAGCGAGGAGCCGGGCCATGAGGGGAACTGGGCGGGCACTGCGGGCCGGCTGCCCCGGTGTCCCTGCGCCCGGCGGCCGGGAGGTGGCGGTGGAGCCCNCACGGCTCCTGTGCAGCCTGGCCCACGCGTGGCCTTCCGGGCCGGCCGGGCCGGGTCAGCCCAGCCCATTCCGTTTCCTCCGGCGGCCCGCGGAAGGTAAGCGCGGCTGGCGGCCGTGGGTGTCAGACCCCGCCTCTCCGCGCCCAGGGGCTCCGTGGGGCCGGATTGCTCCGGCGTCACGGCCGGGGAAGGCGGGGGTCGGCTCTCGGCAGCCGGCCCGGGGCAGGCGCTGTGAGGGGCGTGTGCTGCCACAGCGCGACGGGGCCGTTGCCCGTCAGTTCAGAAAGCACACGAGGTGCTTGAGCGTGTCCAGAGAAGGGCCGCGGAGCTGCTGAAGGGTCTGGAGTTTAAGTCCTGTTAGGAGTGGCTGAGGAAGCTGGGGATGTTTAGCCTGGAGACAAGGAGGCTCGGGGAGACCTTATTCCCCACTACAACTGGAAGGAAGTTGTAGCCAAGTGAGGTTTGGTCTCTTCTCCCAGACGACTGATGACAGGACAAGAGAACATAGGCTCAAGCTGTGCCAGAGGAGGTTCAGGTTTAACATCAGGAAGATAATTTCTTCACAGAAAGGGTGATTAGGCATTGGGACGGACTGCCCAGGAGGGAGGTGGTGGAGTGGACATGACACTTAGAGCCATGGTTCAGTTGACAAGGTGGTGTTCTTTCGTAGGTTTGGCTCGATGATCTTAGAGGGCTTTTCCAGCCTAATTGGTTCTGTGATTCTGTGAAAGAAAAAAGAAATAAATACTCTGTGCTGGCCGGGCGTGCACTGCCCTTGGCGGGGGCACGGAGCAGCTGCTGCAGGGCTCAACTAGCGTGGGGCATTCCCCAACCCCGTGCCGTGCTGTCAGGTTGTTGACAGGAACCTTTTCATTGACTGCCTAGTGCAGCTACTCTGAAGACTCACCTTTGAAATAAGAGCCTGAGTTTAAAACGAAGAGCCAGTTCAGATAGGTGTGAAACATAATTTTGAGTCTGGTCATTTTCCATCTTCCTCACAATGGTCCTTGAAGTTCCTCTCTGAAATCTTTGATGAGTGGTGCCTGTTCTGGCCATCACAGCCCACGGCATGGACCAGTTAATACATGCAATTTTGGTTCCCACTTTCTTCCCCGAAGTAGCCCTAGAAATTATGGGGTCACCATTCCTATTCTGAAGGAGACTTTTATTCCAAAACATTGTATATGAAGTTCACAATTCTCATATTTGAAAAACTTAGCTATCTTCTTGGATTCTGCTTTTTTATCATCCTATTAGAGTTATTCGAACCATGAGATTTTTTTCAGGAGCCTAATATTAGCATTTTCTTCTGTAAATGAATAAATTATCTAGAACATTTCTTGTTGAAAACAAATAAGTTTTTTGAATATTTGATCCTTGCAGAGCACATTGATTTAATCTTTGTAAAGATTAAATCTTTAAGGTATTTTATTTAAACAGAATAATATAATTGGGGAAATTTTCCCAAAATATACACTTAATTGTTATACTAAGAATTACATGTAAGGTTGAGAAAACAGCTATAAGTGCTACAGAAAATTACATTTCTCCAGTAAGCTAATGGAAATAAAGTTATTTTTTGGGATGACAGTTGTATTTCCAAGATTCAGAGCTTTAAAATATTGGAACAATTTTACAGTCCACAGATAGGAGAGAGCATGTCTGCTAGGTATGAATATTAATAATTCAGTTACATAATATTTTGATGACATCAACTGTCTCTCTTTATTTCATTCTTGCCAGTATAGCTTTTAGCTTTCATTCCATGTGGGAGATGTACTATGAGGCTGCTTAAAGGGATAAATATTTTTGGGGTTCTTCATTATGTTGAAGCAGTAGCATAGCTGAAAAACTTGTAATTCAGGAGAAACATGTACTTAGAACAGTATAGGAGGGCAATGGCAAACTGCAAATCTTTATAATCTTAATTTATACACATTCTTTTTGCTTAATTATATTTTATTTATTTTCCTCTTGTGACTCAGCTGTTTTCTCATCTTGAAAAAGACAAGCACTTTAAATCTGTTGCAGCAGTCAGCAACTGTTTCCAGTGATTATTTTTATGCAGCCGTCTGCACAAGTAGGCTTTGTGAGTAGATAAGAATAAGAAAACAGATAATAAGCAAGCAGATAAGAATAATAAAACTTGATTCATTTTTGATTGACACAAACCTCTTTAAAGTTTTATGCATCTTTCTCATATTTATGTCCTTTTTTTGCATTAAGTGGCAAGAGACTGATGAAAATTAAATTGCCCTGACATTGAGGAAGATGGTGTAGAGCTGTGAGCTTTCCTCATATAATATGGGTTTTCAAACTCACTTTATTTCAAAGATACAGTGATTACTGTCATTTTTGCAAGTGTCTGAGAATAAAGTGCGGATTGGTGTTAATGCAATGCTTTATTTAAGTTTTTTTACCAAGGGGAGATGAGATTATGTTGCTTCTATTACTTAAAAAAACTTTGCTATCTGAACATCTAATGTATGTGAAGCAGACATTGCTTGAACTTCATAGCTGTGTAACTGACTCCAAAATAAGTGTGGGAAGTGGTTTATACAGTAATATTATGAATGCCGAAAAACACTTAGGTCAATAAATTGTTGCATATATTTTCTATTTAACTCTGCCCTTCACAGTCACTTTAGCTTTGCTCAGTGCCACCATTATATGAAGGTACTTTTGGAAAAGCAGAAGTGCTTGAATTACTCTAGAAATAAATTAATTTCCTTCTTGCTTTTCCCTAGCAGTGCAGCTCTCAAGCATGGAAGATTGCAACTCTGAAACTCTTTGGAATCTATTTATTCTTTTGTGTTATTTTTTTAAAAGATATTTGTAACTGAATTGTGTTTTTGGAGATACAGATGTGGTTTGTGATAGGCGTGCCTGGTGGTTCCCATGGAATGCAGGGTTCAGATGATGGCAGTGAGGATAGAAGTAGTGCAGTAATTCTGGACAGCACACTTAAGAGGCTATTTCTCGGACGTGCAATACATTAAAAAATTATAAAGGTTTTCAATTGCTTATTTTCAATTCATATTTATTTTAATTTCTTTATGATAGAGCATACTGTACAAGGTCATGATTCAGCATTTAATTGTAGTTACTGATTTAGCTGCTTAAGTTTCACACATCTCTTTGTTGCTGATAAGTGATAAACTGTGCTGTCAACTGTGTATCAGGTGACTGGAGGCTATCTGCTGTAAAAAAATACACTCCTTTCAACCTGGTCATTTTTCTTTCTGGATGAACATTGGACTTACAAGTATCAGTAGGATACCTCAACATTTTACCTTTGTTCCTAGCAGAAGGAGAAGTAGCCAAGCATAAAATACACAGTTTCTGCTGAACAAGAGCAGTAGCAGACTACAAGGAAAGAGACAATGTCTTCTGAAACAGTCCAACAGGGAAGTCAGACACCTCCAATAAAGCAACCTGGATGGGTAAGCTGGATTTTCTTCCTTGTATGTCAGTGCTATTGCTAATGAATTACTGGATTTTGCCTCCGTTGCTCTTACTGAAGAGAGAAATAGGTGTCTGTTAGCTTAAGCATATAGATGGAGAGAGGAAAGGATGGTGTGTTGTTTTTTCCTGGTTCACTGTGCTCAGAGGGGTAGGAATTGTGAATCTTAAGGCTCTAATTTATGCCCTGAGTTACGAGCTGGCATAGCCATGGTGTCTTGAGTACTAGTCCAGTATAACCTGTCCCCATCAGGTTCTGCATGCACATGTTCAGAAGGGGAGAAGGGAACAGTACAGCACAAGAATCTGGTCTACAGCTCTACAGAAGATGAACATTCTCCTCTGATGGAGAAATTGAGGAATTTAAATGTG